CTTTTCTCTATTACGGATATGAAGAGATGCGCACGGGCGAGTGACATATGTATGCAATTTCCCGCAAAAACCATCATTCCAATCCTGAAATATAGAGACTTATAATAGGCTTACCATAGTGAATCAGGGTAAGACAAACACGTTTTGGAAAAAGGATTGGTGATGTATTAATGAAATAGCTGCTTTTGAACCAGAAAAGTTACATAGTGTACCTTTATGAATGTTTTTTTATGGAAAACGTAATGGAATTACTTAAGCCCTTTATACAGAAGCCTCTGTCCACTGAATGAAGACGCACAGATCTATAGAGCAGTGATGCGGTGAACGGTGAGCACTGAACATACGTTCTCTGTCACGCTCCATTTATGATGTGTACCAAAGAAAATGTGAATAGATTACATTAGCAATATAACAAATAATACATACATACTAATTAAGTGATTACCATTGTGTGATCTTTCAGCAGTTTTTAAATGTTTGCAGTTTGGAGAATGGATGGATTTGAACATTTTTGAACTTTTGGAGGTCATTGACCATAAGTGCCTATGAAAAATAGTAGAATGTAGAGTTTTGTATTTTTTCCATTATTTAAAAAAAAAAATTCAATTGTGTTCTGTCACTCAGAATTAGCCTGGTTAAACCCAGACCATTCTCAGTTGTAACTGAGTTATGGTCTGGCAAAGCGTCATAGACAAATCATTTCCAGAGGGGCGTCACCAACGGACATCGCGGATAGACCTAAAACCAATCAGAGCGATGAAGGAGATGACGTATGCAGAGCGGCGGAGAATCTCCAAATGTTGTTCTTTGCTCGGTTTTTAACAAAAAGGAAACGATTAAATCGCTTAAAACAGACGCGATAGCTGATTCGAACGAGTGATGTTCGACGGCGGCATCCATCTTTGTAATGTAGGCTACAAAATCAGCTTAAAAATCCCAGCGCTGTCGTCATCGTGTAAAGCCCGCCCCAACGTTTCTGATTGGTGCCTCGATTTCGGCGGATTGGAAATAAGTTTGAATGAGCTCTTTGCCAGACTAACTTTCAGAGCAAATCTAAATTTGCCGGAAGTTTTCCCGGGCTAACTCAGAATAGCTTTTAAGGTTTGCACGTGCAAGAACCACTTACATTTTCTTCCAAAAAAAAAAAAAAAGGTTTTTCAACTTTCTAGCTATTTTGGAACACGTTAGTAAGCTGTTTTCTGTGAATGTGTGAGACTTCCAATTCATTAACCGCTATATAAATTACTAGAAGATTGACAAAGTGCAGTAAAAGGTTGTGCTACAAACCAATGTGTTTATGATTACGATAATAAATTCAAATGATACAATAACTAAATTACCAGTTTGCAAAATCAAGTAGCTTAACAAGCTATTTTGTACAGCTAAAATAAGTGGATGTAACAGTCTTTTCTTCACTATTGTGACGTATATCCAAGTGAACAAGAAAAAATTTAGTGTGGGACTTGATTTTGTCCAAGGGGAATTGATTGGATGGTTGTGGTTTGCTATTGGTCGATCTCATGTGAGTGACAGGTTGTCCCGCCCTAATGCCAGTAAACACACCATCAGAGAAGAGATGTCGCTGCAAGAGGGAGGGGAATCTATTTTGATGAAATATTATGAGGGAACATGATTTTTTTTTAAATGATCTTGATAATAATTACTGCAATATTCCATAAGTAAGAATGGTCAATTTTGATTTCATGGTGACTTAAAAAAAAAATAAGGTGGATAGCAAAACCGAGAGTGTTTGAGGTTACCAGAAGTAGTCAACAGATGCAGCATGGTTCTTAAAATTTCATTTCAAGGAGCAAGATGGAAGCCACATCCCTGGAGTCTCTCCCATTCACCCCATCCGCACCTACTCTAGAATGTAAAGATTTAGCTCTGGTGATCTGGATTAGAGCCTTGAATCTGCTTTGATTTAGTCCCAGACTAGATTAGATCAACACATACAAGCTGCAAATAAATTCAATAGAAGTTCTTTTTTTATAACAAAATAACAGTTAATTCTTGATTCCCTTAAAACCATGCCAGCCCAAACCAAGCGCACAGACGGATTGTGATCTGAAAGGCATTAATCCTGTGAGTGACCATTGACTGAGTTTCACAATAAGATTATTAAACGCATTTTGTAGTACATTGGGTTTATAATCCTCGCTCCGCAATCCTTGATGTGGTTCCCTCTTTATTATACAGCGAGCACTTTTTCTAATCAAAGTTTTGGGCATGGAACCAAAAATATATTATAAATAAAAATAAGCTTTTCCAAAATGAAAAGGTTTAGCCACCATTTACGAAATTGCAGTCCTGCTTGGCCTCGTTTCATTCATAATTACAGTGAATACTGTGAATTTAGGACAAGCGACAGGTCTGCACAGATGCCATCCATTCAGGCATGTGAGCAAAAAGCCGATAATGAGCAGTGGAGGAGCAGTTCTTGTACGTGTCCGTCACAAACCCTGCTGCTCTGCTGCACATGCACAAATGAACAACCCTCCCCATCCCGGCAGCCCGAGTCATTGTCTACAGAAAAGCTCCACAGTACATAGCTATTCACTCATTAGTGCTGCACTTTTTTTACAGTGGCCCCAAAAAGTATTTGGCCACACATAATGCAAAGGCATTTATTTTAAGTCTGGCTTAAATATTTTTTGGGGCCCCTGCACGGGTTTTGGACTAGCATATTCAGTCATTTGCTTTTCAGTTTACAGAATCATTTAGTGAACTATTTGTGTAAAAAAAAAAATTTGAACCATCTAATGGCAAATTTACACAGCAAAGGTGGCACACAAGTGCTTCTGAGGTGGCAGGTATCTTTAAGCTGAGTGTTTAATGCTGCTCAGAGGTGGCATAAATGCATTTACACAACAATCTTAACAGAATATTGTCATAGGGGCTGAGGTGGGTCAGAGCAGGCATAATTTAGTCTGACTTTTGTGGTGCATTGCATCTATACACATAATTTTGAGCTGGCACAGAGCAGCCTTAACCCAGCTGTGTAAACCTTACGCTCTAATGAATTTTGAGATTTAATCTGATTTCAAATACAGATAGCTACCAACTAAAACATCTAAAATAGTGCTTCTCAACTAAGGGGCCGGGGCCCACTAGAAGGGCCTCAAGATGACTTAATATGATTTAACCCTCTATTGCTGTTTGGTAAAAAAAAATGTTTATTTATTTATTTGTATAATTTTTTAGTTAATCAGAATGGTACGAAGCTTGGTAAAGGTTTTGGCACTTGCTGTGTGAACACACACAAAAAAAAGGTTAAAAAAAATAGTCGCACTTCTATTTTTCGAGGTTAAAAATTACCGCATTGGAAATGAATGGGAGATGAAATTTCATCTATTGGAAACAATTGGTACTGCGCCCAACAAAGTCTTACTGAAAGCTCATTTTTGGAGATATCAACCTCAAATTTGGAAGACAGCTTGTTTAGATTCATGGCATTTAAACGATTTGTGTTTTGTTTTGGAAAATATATATTTCAAATAAAAATTTACATTTGTACTTTTGTGCATTTTTCATAATAATAAATGGAACATTTTCTAACTTTTTTCAAGTTCACTTTTTTTCACATCAGCATAATCTGCCGTGTCGTCTTTAAAAAGAGACCAAACTTAAGTCTGTGCTCCAAAGCATTAGATTTATGACCGATTCAGTTGGAAATTTCATTTTCAGGTCCATGCACAAAAAGCGAATAATAACTAAAGTATAAATATAATTTAGTACAATAGAATCCCCTAAAAATACTAAATATTAAATAAAAAATGTTATCGAACTAAAATATAGTACAATCATTTCATTGAAATATTTTTTTAACAGTATCAGAGGGTCAAATTAAATTTTATATTAATTTTAAAAAGTGTGACTTTTAGACCTATAAAAGTTATGTAAATGAATAAAATCTTAAAACTATGTTTATAATAAATATTATCTTTTCTAGTTATGCCAAGCTTCACTTCATCCTTATATAAAAGATATTTATTAAATATCAAGGGGTCAACAAAAATCAAACAGTACTGTACAGTACTCTGTAAAAATAGAACAATACTGTCAATTATTCTGAGTCAGGAATCTATGGCTGTGTTTGGAATCGAATACTATTCATTTCCAAAAAATAGTATTTAGAAAATAGTATGAGAAATGGTATGCAATATGCAGCCATATACATTCCATATTATGCTAAACAGTTGTAACATAATGAGTGCCATCCAGTTATCATCTGGATCTGGAATAGGCCTATAAAAAGTTGCATTTTTAATTCAGTTAAAAAATACCTTTGAGCAGTTTTGTTAAATAACAACCCAAAAGAGATGTATATATTATGGGTTCATTCATCACACTGGGAAAGGTCGAGCACAATACATGGTTGGATCAGTTTCTCATGCAGTATGGTCTGGTTGAATGCTGTACAACTCATTGAATACTGAAAATTAACATATTGCAATATACATTATACAGCAAAAATAGTACTAGCCATTTTTAAACAGTCAATACTTTACTGACATTGTATGTAGAAGTATAATATAGCTAAATCTGGTACTGTGAGATAAAGTCATGTTTGAACCATGTTTCAGATCCTATATGCTTTACTGCTACTCCTAACAAAGCATGTTGAGACAGAAAGAAAAGAAAAAATCCAGTAACTTCTCTCAGTATACCTAAACATTAACTTTCAAAAGACTTTGGGGGCCGTTCACACAGAACTCGTTTTTCCATTCCACTATTTCCATTGTTTTTCAATGTAAACGTGTGCTAGGCGGACATGTTTGAGCGTCTTTTGCAGCGTCTCGTACATCACTCAGCAATCTAAAAGCGGAACTCAAGTTAGAATAAATTCTACTTTTAAAACTCGTTTTTAACAGCAAAAACACGTTCTGTGTGAACCGGCCCTTAGTGTTAGTGTTTGGTAATGACATTTAAAGCACAGAATAAGTAGCATGTCATTTGTTATTTCTCTTTCTAAAGGCACAGTAGTCTACAGAAAGACGTCTGCACTAAAACAGCATGCTCTTTCCACTATATGGAAATGCATTATTTAATGGTTTAAATATTCTTCATAATCATACATTTAATATGGTTAAGGACCACATACATTTGTGTTCTTTAATGAACACACCACATTTTATCCCATTTTACTGTGGAATCTTATGATTTTATATGATTATGAATACAAACTGTTCAAACATTTGGCTGTCTGGAAAATGTTCTGTGTACAGGAAATGTGGCACATAAAGAGGGAAAAACAGTGTGTATACAGTACATAACAATAATAAAGATAAAGAAATACGGCAGTTAATGTTCATAATGTACGAAAATAGTATTTTAGTATTTAATATACATGTATAATAGTATTTGATCAGGCAACAGGTGCTTTTGTGGATAGTGTTATGCAAGTCAAAGAGAAAACACAAAAGTGGCATGAAAACAATTTCACTGATAAAATCTGACCAGTTAAATCAAGTTCAAGTAAAAATATTTATAAAAGTCCCAATTTGCAGGTGAGATACTGTTCTTCAATGCTGAAATCTGGTCAGCAAAATTATTTTCCTCCACTATAAAAGTCATTTAAAACACTTTTTGAAATTCATTGTAAAATGATCTGGTAAAAGTAAAAAAACGTTTCGCTTGTAAAAAAACAGACTCTCAGTTCCTCTATAAAACAAGCAAAGTGAATCTTTCATTTTCTTGAAATCATGCACAGTTTGGGAAGTCTCATCCAGTTTTCAACCCAGAAAACTCAAACCAGCCATTACTGAGAATCCACAGAGGAGGAAGAAAACTTTGAGCAGTGGCCGCTCAGGGGAGTTCAGTTCATGGGGAAGGATCTCTAAGAAGGTGATGTAGATAAAGGTCCCGGCCGCCAATCCCTCCAGCACCGCCTGGATAAAAGCACCGTCCTCCAGCTGAGCCTCGATCACTAGAATGCCAATAGCAATGCCGAGAGGAGACATCACAGCGAAGACCGTCACGTAGAGCAACACCCACATGGGCTTGACCGCGCTCTGAACCAGCTTCACCGACAGACTGAAGACAATGATGCTCTTGTGAACCAGGATAGCAATGCAGATCTCCAACACCTGAGCAGAAAGAGGAGTGGAGGAAGTGAAACTTGTCTTTATGTTATATTCGTCAGTATATTATTCTAAAAGACTTTCCTTTTTGGCTGATGTCACCAAGCCCTCATTGTGGCTTGGTGATAAAAACATTGATAAATAGACAAATAGATGTACATGTGTCAGAGTAGAAGTAAACTAAATGACAAATAGATGTACATGTGTCAGAGTAGAAGTAAACTAAATGTCTGGTCTAAATAGAATACATGAATATGAGTATATGATATTAAAAGATGCAATAGACAAAAAGCATTAATGGATCAATACAAGAATAATGTTTGAAAGGATTAATCATAAATAACCAAAAAAAGAATAATCATAATGATCATATGCATATATTTTTCAAATTCATTTAACGTTTAAGTTTGTTCGGTTCTTTGTTCAAACTCAAACAATTATTTTATTTTTACTATTAAGAGATTTGCTCAGGAGTTAACTGTAAACTGCAAACATTAAACTGAAATAACTGAAATGAAATGTGTTTAACTGGAGGTGTTCTGTTAACTCTGCTAAACTAACACTGAAACTAAATAAATAACCAAATAGAAATGTGTTCAAAAAATAAAAACTAAACTAAAACGAACAAAACCATTAATGAAACTAACTAAAACTGAAAATGATAGTAAAATAAAAACTATTTCAAAAATGCAAAAACTATAATAACCTCGGTGTGGACGTTAATAAACTGATCTTCTTTATAGTTATCGTTCTTGGTCTGAACGGACCTGAAGGGGAAATGGAACTAACTTAAACCATGAGGAACATAACATGCTCCAAAAGTAAGCAGTAAATTCTGCTCCACACGAACTTCATCTCTGTATCTGCTCTGAGTTTGGGTTTCTTAGTATTGTAATAATTTTACATTTGTACTGTATATTTTCATATATTCTGTCCCTTTATATTTTATTTTCTGTTTCAAAGATAAAAGAAAAAGTAAGTCATACAGGTTTGGAACAACGCTAGGTTGAGTAATTGATGAAAGAATTTTTATATATGTGGGTGAACTGACCCTTCGACATTTATCCAGAGATGTGGCATCCTAAGGACATAACAGGACAAAACCCTACAAACACAGCATGATTTGCTAAACCAGACTGTAAACCTTTGAACCTAAAACTTTATCAGTTTTCTAACAAGGTCAGCACAGTGACTCAACACAGAGTTGTCTTGTCAAACAAAACAAAACTCAATAAATCACCTTAGTGTCTGTGGTCTGCAAGCCAATGGCCAAACCCTCAAACACAGAGTGTAGAGAGAGAGACAAGAAGAGCATGAAGGAGCGGAAGGACGAGTGCGCATGAAAATCCACGTGGACGTGGTGACTACTCCCCTCCAGCTCATTCAGCGAGTTCTGTCCGTGGGCATGACCGTGACCCACGGGAGCTAAAAGAGGAGCCGTCTCCTCATTTCTGCGGCCCTCTGTGCAGCTCAGAACCATTTTCTCTAAGATCAAGACGGTGAAGAAGCCACACGCCATGATGAACTCTGCAACCGGGAAGCCCTCCTGCAAGATGAGGAGACTTGGTATTAGAAACATGGAATCAACATATTGATTTTAACAGAGCAACTCCATAATTGATATAACTCACATCAAGGCCTTGTTTTTGTAGCACTACATGTATGTCGGAGAGGTAGTCTGGGATGATGTCTAATAAACAGGCGGACAGGAAGACGCCTCCTGCGAAGCAGCTCACAAAACTCAGCACGGCTCTGTGGATTGCTGGAAACAAAGAAAAACCACAATCAAAGTCACGTTACATTGATTAATGGTGCCGCCGATTGACATAATGGTGCAATCTTTCTCTAATCACTCCTTTTAGCTTATCAGTCAAAGTAAAGCAAGTTTCGCCATAGGGATTTTAATCAGGAGCCCAGAAATAATTAAAATCACATCAGAAGAACTGATCATTTTATTTACTCACAACCAAAAGTTTTAGGTGTAAATGTAATTTGCATTAAGCAACGCTTAATCAAGTGTTGATGACATTTTACTCAACTATAATTCTGATAACCGTGAGAAAACCACATCCTTTTCTGGTTGCACAAGCAATTATTTGTGACATGTGTCTAAGGTAAAGCCTGCAATCAAAAGAATACATATTTAATAATTCACAACACATTTGGGTTACAATAGATCACTGTGGTCGTTTAGTAGCAGTTTTTGCTTGTTTAAGCATGTTCAAACACCAGTTTCACTTCCACCCTTATGTACATCTGTAATATGCGCCTAAACTGAAATGTATGTTTAGAGAAAACCTCATCAGCTGACTCTCATGTGTTTGTTGTATAAAGCTGAGCAAATCCCTAAATATAAATAAAGACTGAGCAAATTCCTTATGGTTTGGTACAGTGTATGTAACCTATAGTGTATGGACATAAGCATACATACATAAACACACACTTATCCACATGTGAACAGATGCGTGACATACATACATAAATACATGGCTGTGCTGGAATGAGGCGACAAATGAAAGAAAGCATCATGACTAGGACAGTAAAAAAATCGATGACAACACCCCAAAATGACTTAAATGATTATTTACCTGTTCCACTAGTATCTTGAAACCATTTCATCCGCGCTGGGATGAAACCAAAAAATAGAGTTAAGAACAGCAGCCCAACCAGCGCTCCCACTTTCACCTGTAGCAGGTAATCCATCTCGACAATGACAACTCAAATGAAACTAAATGTAAACAAACACAGTAGAGAGAGGACAGGCGCCTCTGCCAAACTCTGATAACTAAAGTATCGGTAAATGTTCTAATGTATAATGTCTTTGAATGATGAACCCCATGATTTTGATGTTCATGCTAGTTTAGCGGTTCATTCTGATTCTGATCAGGTTTCCCTTCACACGACTTGCATGTTTGTCAGTCGTTCGTCCCGCCCCTTGATTTTATGACGTATACTTCCGGCTTGATTAATCGCTCAACGTTCAAACAGAACGTCTATAATGCTACTGAAATATCTACATTTCCGTAGTTATATTTAACATTTTAAATAAAAGTATGAATATTAATATATACATGTCTAAAATATAATAGCTGAGGGCATTAAAAGAGTGCATTTTGGTTTTTGAGCCGCCGAACGCCCTCTGTAGGAAGATTATGTTACTTCAGTACGATAGTATTTAGTTATTTCCACTTCTTCCAGTTCAGTGCTTTGACTGCATGCATGGCATAAAGCTGTGGTTCCCGGTATGACTAAACCACACATGACTGCCTTGTGACTGAGAAAAAAAAGTCATATCATCAGTATTGATGTAAAACTAAATTGTTTGCTGCTTGTGTCTTATATTTATTTTACAGAGGAAAATAGAGAAGTTGCAGAACTATTTTGTTTGTCAGAGCCTGAGTCAGTTAGTGCTCTTTCAAAAGCACTTAAAATATTTTTATTCTTTATCTTTCACTTCTACCCAATGGGCTGATGGATTACCAGTCATATACATTGTAGTTTTCCCATTCATATGCCAATAATAACCTTGCAACCATGCTCTGGGGCCCAAATGGGGCCATTGCGGGCAGCCCACTGTGGGCCCAGATACAGGCGTGAAATGCGGGGCACGTGTGGCCCAAAGTGTGGGCTGACTATGCTGGTTGTGGGCCCACAGCAAACCCCTTAGGGTTAGACCCACTGGGGGCCTGTGTGGGTTTTCTGTGGGCAAGCCCACAGTGGGTTGCCCACAGTAAATCATCATGGGGGCCCAAATGGGCAAAACTGCTATGGGCCCCGCATGGGCTAACTGGGGGCCTGTGTGAGTTTTCTGAGGGCAAGCCCAACTGTGGGCTTGTCCACAGAAGGCCCACATGGGGCCCCAAAGGGTTTGCCCTTGCCCACACTATCCTACAGAAAACACAGTGGGCCCACACTGGCATGTTTGCTGGGAAATGTAGTATTTTTAGGCTACAATAATTCCGGTCATCGAGTCAGAGCAGCGCTTCCACAGTGCTGAGACTTTTCACTATCACTATTCCCACTATCTCAAACACTTTCGTTTTCTGTTAGTCTGTGCATACTGGTGGAGGGATCTTTTTCTCTGTAACTCTACATCGATATGCCAGTAGGTGGCGACAAGTGACTGTTTCTACGAGCGAGTGAGTCATTCAACCGATTCATTCAGGAACTAATTTTATGGCTGTGTCCGAAATCAACAGCCTATACCCTCGTTCATTGTTCTTTACATTAATTCACTAATATAGTTCATTGAGGGAGTAAATAAAAAAAATGAGTGAATGAATTCGGACACTGAAGCTGCGTCTCAAAATGCATCCTTCGAAGGACATTTCGGTAACAATTGTGCTTAAAATGTAAGTTGCTCAACATTAACTTGTTTATGGAGCTGTTGAATAGAACTTCTATAGAAGCAATAACATTTTTGTGATCAAATATTTTCGTATAAGAACATCTTAATTTTTTTAATTGACAGGTCTGATGTCTGATTGTAGCTAAACTAACGAGAATGCCTTGTCAATTCAGAACTTTATTGATTGAGCTTTTACAATGGGATGATTGGATTTAAGACAGATTAGTCAAGACGTTTATCTTAACTTTAGGAAGCTACCGGTATTTGTGATATTTTTTAGAACTGTAATTCTTATTAAGGTTTGCATTAAGGAAACAAATAAGACTCTCTTGCTTGTGTCATACTATTTAGTAATATTAGTTATGTATTTTCTTGAATTTTCTTTCTTCTGAAAGTTAGTTCAAACGTATACCTACATGTGTGGATTGCTAGCTTTTTTCCCCACTGGAACAAATGGTGCTCGAACAGGCTTATTTAAAGTATTATTTTAGGTAAGCAGGAATTAATTGTCTCAACCAGACATGTGATTCAGAGATGTAAAAATAAGGGCCTAAAATGAACACTTGGCAAGTGCTGTTTGTCTGACAACACATTATTTTGGGGAACAAAAATGTTTGATTTTGGGGAACAAAAATATGAGCTGCGGAGGAAAATAATGTTTTAATGCTTTTGCGTTCGCTTGCAAAATATTTGTGTTTTCCCAAGAAGCTTTGCTTGCAAAGGCATTGGCTATAATCTTTCCTTCCATCTCAAAAGTTATACTTTGCATGACCATATTTACTTGATATTTTGCACATTGGACCAAAAAAAGCTTTGGTACAGTTAGTCTAACATGCCTGAATAAGTTTTGAGTTTGTCTACATTGGATCTGCGATCTCTTTTAACTGTTTTTATTTTTACAATTCAGTTATAGACAGCATGCAACTACTTTTTCCCCCCCTTAGCTATGTTTTGGAGCTTTGTTTTTAGTCATATGCTTGTCAGAGCAAACAAACAAGCTGACTGCTGTGTGCGATTTGAGTGGAGTTAGTCAAAGGCATGAGGAGTAAAGTTTCTCATTTAATATTCCTGCAGCCAACCGAGCTCCATGCTGCCGAGTGACCGCCGCTCCCTCAGGCATCAATAATACAAGAGGAAGTTATTGTTCCGCTGCAGGCGACAGCAACATAGAATTAAAAGGCTTGTGGGGAGGCTGTGCTAGGCCTTTCACTCAACCCACTCAGGTTTCAGGTGCTGTAGACAGGCCTCGGACAAGAGAGAGATGATTTCAAACATCAGTGAAGGGCCTGATTGTGTGGCCCTTAGGGACACTTTTGTTTTATGACAGCTGTAGGCGACCTGCTGGCTGCCACATAAGAAAAACAATACCCATGTGGACAAGGGTACCATTTTATGTCAGTGTTGGCGCAGGTGAAAATTACCTCATGAGATGTCAGATTGAGCAATAAAACAGAGTGTAGTGATTCAATTATGATTAAGTGGTTTATGTAAGCTTTTAAGGGGAAAAATATGTTGATAAAATAAAAAAAGCACATAAAATTACTAAACTTTTAACTAAAATTAAAATGGAAACTGATTCTAAAGCTAATTCAAATTAATAAGCACTATAATAGTAAATAAATAATACTAAAATAACACTGGCATGTATCATTATAACCATAAAGAATAAGTGATATACATTTTTTGGAATATCACCACCAAAAGAACTATTATTCGATTGATTGTTTATTATGCAGCCAATGTGTATTATCTAATGTATATCTACCGTGCTCCATTTTAGCCTCAGTCGGAGTAATGACCTACCTTTGTAACTCCTTTAATCTTAATTACTATGAAATTGCCTTGTGATACAAGAGTATACCCTCTTAAAGTTCCTTGGCCTTTCTCTTTTCTCATATTACATGCCTGAGTCTCTGGCCTCTCACTCCAGCACACAGTCAGCTGGCACATGATGGGACGATGTCGCTGAAACGTGAAGCTTTAGCTTTTGAGGATCCAATTGAATCTCAAAGACTGGGAGGGGGAGCGGATCAAAAAGTGACAAATGCTGAGAGAGAGAGAGAGAGAGGAAGAGGGAAAGAGGGAGATAGAAAGAGAGACTGAGAAATAATTAGCTCACACTCGCAATCCTAGAGACATCCAATCTATTTTCACAGATACGGACAGGATTAAACAGACACAACAGCTTATATGTAAGTAGCTACTGAAAAAAATCTAATAGTGTTTTACAAATGTAGAAAATGTCAGAATTTAATGTTTTATTTTTCAAGTAAATGCATTTAGATAAGTGTTGCAAAAACCCTTTTCAGTCTAATTTGTAATAGTATTTTACAATCCATTAATAATCTACATTTAATTATACTAATTAAATGTCTTGTTTTTCAAGACAACACTGAGAAAGAACAAATTGAAATTAATTGTTTACTATTTGTTCTTTTAGACTTGGTTTAGACTTAAAACTTATCTTTGTGAAAGATTAGCCAAGTGACAGTGGATAGTCATTAAGATTTCATGTGCACTCCACAGTGCGACACTTTACTCTCTGAATGTCTCTGTCAGCTCCTAAAGGAACATAAATGCAGTCTTACAAGGACAACAAAATGACTTTGTCCGTGCTACCTTGAGGCAAAGGAACTTAGGATGGGCAAGTTGGGAATTGTTGTGATTTTGCTTTTACTGGAACAAGTATCAGCCATTGCTGGAGGTAAGACAATTATGGCTGTTGTTGGTACAATAACTCAATTTGTTTCACAGTCTAACTTCACTGAATCTTCCTCTCATATTAGCGAGCAAAAAAGAGGACCAGAAGGAGGCGATTTTGAAAGAGCTTGTTGAGATATGGAGGAAGGGTGGAGGATGGGATCCACACAGAGTACAGCCACCAGTAGAAATACAAAAGGATCAACAAATCCATTCCATAGTGAGGAGCATTATGGGAGGTCTCAAGTCTCTAGGTGTCCTGCCAGGGAAAAGCACAAGTCTCCCATCTTTAAACAAAGCCTTCGATCGAAACAGGCTGTCAGGATTCCTTTATAACATCTCCATGTATCTGCAAGAGATGAGCGCAGAGATAGATGATCGTCAGCAACCTTTTAGTGATGACCAGTTTTGGGAGAACCTGCTCTATTCTCTTCTTCAGACTGGAAGGGAAACATCTCTTGGAATATGGGATGGGAAAAGTCCCCCGCGACCCACCTTCAGACTCCAGGATCTGTTTCTGTCGCTCAGGGGCAGCCCACATTGGGATGGACTTCTTGGGTTGGTACAGAGCATTTTGACCCTCACTGAACGGCAGCCTCAAAAACCCATCTTGACTTTTGTTTCTCAGAATTGGAAGACCATCAGCGCCTTGCTTGAAACTGTTCTTCAAGCCATGGTCAGTGGGACGTATGGCCAGGCCGTCGCAGGTCTCCAGGGTTTCATCTGTGTCCTGAAAGGACGAAATGATTGTGCCTTTAACCTAAGCTGGCTTGAGCAGCTCATCAGCTTTATGGAGACCAGGAACTGGAAACCTGTGGTCAGTCTACACCCTGTGAGTGTGGAAAACAATCAAA